TGTTTTGTTTGATTCATCTAGCTGCTGACACGATGACTGTTGGATCTTGGAAGTGTGCGATCATCAAATTGGGAGATGCAGCATACCACGATATCCTGGCTTCGGCTGGGCTTGAAATAACCCTTTCGCTGTCCTCCGCTCTTTGCATCAGTGGCTTCCTAGGTTCGGACGAGGGCATGTGTGGAGCTATGGCCGTGTATGTGTTGCTATTTTGTTTGAGTAATCTAGCTGCTGACACGATGACTGTTGGATCTTGGGAGTGTACGATTATCAAATTGGGAGATGCAGCATACCACGATATCCTGGCTTCGGCTGGGCTTGAAATAACCCTTTTGCTGTCCTCCGCTCTTTGCATCAGTGGCTTCCTAGATTTGAGCGAATGTATTTGTGTAGCTGAGCCCGTGTATGTGTTGCTATTTTGTTTGAGTAATCTAGCTGCTGACACGATGACTGTTGGATCTTGGGAGTGTACGATTATCAAATTGGGAGATGCAGCATACCACGATATCCTGGCTTCGGCTGGGCTTGAAATAACCCTTTTGCTGTCCTCCGCTCTTTGCATCAGTGGCTTCCTAGATTCGAGCGAATGCATTTGTGTAGCTGAGATGTGTGTCTACGTGAAAGAACATGTGGAGAGAGTCGTATTGGCATTCGCATCAAGCGCATTGCGCATTTTTCGAATTTTGGCCCCCTTCCAGGGACCTTGACTTTTACCCGCTGGCACTGACGCCTTTAATTAGTCAGCCGGTTAGCGCGGTCGATGCTAATAATAAAAACACACACACATACAGAAACATTTTGTGTTTCCCGCCGCACTGAGACTGACGTCTTTTCATTGGTCAGCCGGTTAGCGCGGTCGATGCTAATAATAAAAGCACACACATGGGGTCTTGAGAAGCGTGTTCTGTTCTCAGAGGCACTGAGACTGACGTCCGTTCATTGGTCATCCGGCTAGCGCGGTCGAAGCCGACAAGAAAGACACACAAGAAACACACAACAAAAAAATACCCCGTGGGTCTTGAGAAGCACCTTCTCTTCTCAGAGGCATTGAGACTGACGTCTGTCCATTGGTCAGCCGGATACTGTAGCGCGGTGGAAGCCACGCGTAGGACCCGCACGAAAAAACAAGAAACAGAACGAAAAAAAAATACACTATTAGCAACGCACATACCTTCTGATGGCCGTCAAGTCCCCCCTGAACACGACACGAAGCACCTGATGGGGTGGGACGCGGCCATGGCTTGCCCCGTACGCCTGCTGTCCCTCGAAGATCTCCGGAGATGCGAGGTCGACAGCTTGCTATCGTAGTCGATCTGTCGTCATCAGTTCATCAGTGTCACCCGTGTTCGGTGTTGCAGCCCCGAGTATCAAATAGTTTCGTACGAAACAAATACAAGTACTTCAAAGTAAACAACGTAGGAAAGGAACGTTCAAAATATATCCTTCCAGTTTGCTGTTGTCTTTACATTCAACAAAACGAAGTTCCGATTTAGTAATATTTCCAATGATCAAGTGTCGGAAAAGAAAGGAAATCGCGGCGCCAAATTTCCAGACAACCTCGTGCAAGTTGTGTACCTAGACCACAGAAAAGGCACCAGGACTTGCTAGAGGTGTTTTTGTGTCTGATCGATATCCAGCACACTTGTGTCCGCGCGTATCCTACAACCAAGAGGTGAGGCGATGCCATGATCGACCGACCGCGCTGGATACCAGCAACTAACCACGCCCACAACTTCATTTGTGAGAAGGGCTTCGAGAAAGGAGTCACCACCCATCATCGCTTCTTCTCCGGGCTACAATAGCTGCCACGCGTGCCAGCTCAACCGCGCGCGGGCCTTCAACCGCCCTCAGACGTGCGACACGTCGCTCGTCTCTCTCTCCCAAAAATTTGACATCGGTGAAGGAAAGTAGCCTCGCAAGCAGGACACGCTGAGGCAAGGCCTAACGGATTAGACCTTGGAACGCTTGCACGGCACGAGCGCTTCAACGTCCAATCCCCGAGTCATTGCGGCAGCACGTCCTGCACGTGAGGCTACTGTCCTTGAAGGACGTCCTCTTCTAAGGAGATAGAGACGTGTCGCAGTCGGGCTTCACGAGGGCCGCGGTTGAATCCCAGCTCGTGGTTGAGCTGGAACACGTGGCACCTTATCCTGGAGAATGAGAAATGAGTCGCGTCTCGATTTGAGAAGCACATCTCGAAGCTGCTGGCGTTAAGTCGCGAACGGTGAAATGCTGATCCGTGAGAGGCCGAGAGAGGTTCAAGGCCGACTACTACACAACCAAGATTGTGTCGAAAAAATAAATAAATAAATGGTTTAGGAAACGTCTCGACAAGGACTTTTTGGGGCGCTTGTCCGCTTCTTCTCGAGTGACCGCCTTCTTCCCACTATTTTTTTTCGTTTTTCTCCCCTTGTCCATGTAGTCTTGGAGCAGGGGATGAGTCCCGATCTTCCCCGGGCTTTCCAAAGACTTGGGGTAGCGGTAGGCCAGCGTTCCGTCTTCGCGTACGACCCTGTTGTAATCATTTTTTTCAGGGCGGGGGGGGGGATCCGTCCGCACTATTTTCGTTCACACCATGTGGAGAGACTCCTTCAAGCAAGCAAGCAAGCAAGCAAGCAAGCAAGCAAGCAAGCAAGAAGCAACCAAAGGTTCCAAGCGAGGTTAGGCGAGGTCAACGACCTTACTGCTGTACCTGCCGAACCCGTCCGGGAGGGGGGACTCGACAAGCTCCACGGCGGACCACCACTGATGGCAGTAGCACGGGTCGTTGATGCCCAGGTCGTTCGCCGCGAGCGACCTGATGAGAGGGTGCAATGGGGAAAAAGTGGTGTGTGTGTGTGTGTGTGTATGTGTGTGTGTGTGTGTGTTTTTTTATTATAAGCATCGACCGCGCTAACCGGCTGACCAACTAAAAGACGTCAGTCTTAGTGCGGTTGAGAACACAAAACACTTCTATCTACCATGAACTGGGACCCCGTGAGGGGGCAGCATGGGGGAGGCTAAACTATCCTTCGGATTAAAAACAGAAACAGCAGCAACAGACGAAAAATGCACGCGTCTACCAAGGCTATTACCTAGTACTCGAGTTCGTTTAGGAGTACTTTCACCAGTGTCCTCCTTGTTTTCGCTACCATCATTCTGATCCTCATTTCGACAAGAAGAATCTCTGGGCAGTTCTTCCCTAGCCCTACGTTTCTTGTTGTGGGGAAGGTCATCTGGCTCAAACCCTTTGCTCTCTTCCACTCCTCCATGTTTTTCTGCTCCATCGTCGTCATCCTCCTTTCTCCCCTTTCCCTTTCCTTCGTCTTCGTCACTCCCAAAAGAATTACCCTCACTACTATCGTTGTCGCAGAGATCCCAACCGATTGGCCCTGGTGGAAGTTGGTCGATCAGTAGCCCATGACGTTTGAACACATCGCGAGTTCGCATCGACAGAAAACGAGCTAGCTCGAAGGTAAACCGTCTCCGAATCCTGTTAGTATGAAAAGCTTTCAGGCGAACTAAGGCCCTCTCGTCGTCAAAATTTTCCCGGCAAAAAGCTTCGTGCGCCAAGTGGTTGGCGATAGCAACGATGAGTCGATTGGTGCCTTTGCCAAGACCACCATTCGTTGAAAAAGCAGCAGTAAGGAGGGTAGATCTAGACGGGTTGAAAGTTCCCGCATAGTGATTTGCCTTACTTGCAGCTCGATCTTCGAGGGCTGATCCTGGCTTAAGGATCGACTTGTCGATGCTTCGACCTGCTGATGGGTTGACGATTGTTACGTCGATCAGAATGGACTTGGTGCAGAGGTCCTCTTCCTTCTCTCCTGCGTGTAATCCTGGGGGGATTACCAAATCCATCTTGTATAGCCCCTTTCCCCTACCAGTGCCTGTGGTAAAAGGGGAAGAATCCTCAACGGCGATGGGCATATGGCACTCGCGCAGTGTCTTGAGGACCACTCGAACCATCCTGTTATGGAGGAAGGTTGAGGCGCCGGTCTTGGTGCAGACGAGGGAGTGGGCTCGGCTCAAGCGGTCCTTGCATGGTAACAATGCACCTGCACCACAAAGTTTGCCTGTGTTGCAGTCTGCTCGATCGTGACTCCCCAGTACACGACCGATTGACTCTCGATATAGATCAGGCAGCATTCTTTCATCTGCTGACAACCCTTGCGTTGTCAACCACGACAAAACTCCCTTGCCTTTCGCTTCCTCCAAGCGGATCAACGCCCTCTTCTTTGGCGTTTCCTCGCCTACTACTTTCTGCAAGTCTGTCTCCACCATGTGGCGCACTGCTGCATGAAGAGGTTTCGAAAGGAGAGCTTGGGCTCCAAAGACTTGGTAGTGTTGACCAAATTCATTTCGGCTGAAGGTAGACGGTGGTTGATGTTCTACGTCAGGGTTTCCATCTTCACGGGGTTTTCCCGCCTTCCCTGCTTCCAACAAGTAAACTCCTTTGAGGGCGGGGGTTAACTCATCACTTGTGGCAAGTTTAGCCCATGACTGCCCAACAGCTTTTTCAAGCTTGTCTTTGGTGATGATTTCCTCTAGCTTCTTCAGCGAGTCAATCAGAGCCAATCCTGTCGGTAGCTGGGCAAGCCGGGGTAGACATTGCTCAACTGTGTATCCTGTCGATGCTTGCACTGACTTGGAGAACACCAGCGCTTGCCCTGCCACAAAAGCCGATTCTCGAATGAGAACATTGCTCGTGATTCCCAGTCCTCCTTCTCGCATGGGTAGGTGCACCTGCGCCCGAGCTGTCCCTTTGAAGAAATCTACCTCCTCGCTCTTCGTCGGGTCTGCGCGTACCTCTTTGACCGTTGGTATTCTCATGCTGTCGGCCATCTTGCCAAGGACGATCTTACTCATTGCCCACATCATCATGTTGTCATGTATTTTTGCGGCAGAGTTGGTGATAGACGGTGCAATCGTCCTCAGCAGCTGGAACAAACGTGGCACACCAGATAAACGCAGCAGTTGATAGCTGGCTTGAGGGTCGTCAAGCGTTGCTAGGCGGAGTATTAATTCCGCCGGGTCACCACGGGCTATTTTGGAAACGAAATTCCTCTGGAACTCCTCTGTTCCTACTGGGATCCCGACAACTGGCATGCCACCTTCAGCAACTGACAGACCAATTTTCGTCAATTGTTGCTGTTCGTCGTTTGTCAAAGAGGACATGCAAAGACCTTCCGGGAAAAGCACTTTGGATTTCGGGAGACTGAGCTCAATGCCTTTTTGGGAGAGACGTTCCTGAATCCAATTCGTTACAGTGGATATGGCCTGCATGTTCCTAGCCAAACCTGGTGGAAGATGTGCTTGGAGGTCGTCGACGTATCCGATGAGTTTGACTCCTGGCACTGGTGGCTTGTTGTTGAACTCTTTCATGATATCAAGAAGTCCCAAACCCTCCCAAATTGCAGCGTTGTTGAACTCCGCGCTGTGAAAGAACAACCTCGATCGAACCATCTTCCATTTTGAACAGAAGTTTCGCCTTGGTTCGAGCGTAGATGTTCCCGAAGTACTTC